ATATATATATATATATATTTATATATATATATGATAGTTTTGGAGTTGAAGCTGGTCTAAAATTCTTTTTAAAATACTAGAATATGTACAATAAAAAGTCTAAAAAGTTCTAAATTTTCGGTTGCTAACTGCAACCTTCATCAGAGTACTAAGAGCAGTTCGGATAGTTCAAGGTTTTAAATATCGTCATTATTGCCACATGATTGCACAAGCGATAAATACATGCGTGGGAATTCTTTGTGTTCGTTAATTGTTTTATTGTCTAATATTGAATGTATCGACTCGAGGAACGTTCGTGTTTCTAAATTATGTACTCTTTTCTCTAAGATGGTAGCATTGTTAATAGAGGCATTGTGTCCTGTGCTTTCTGCGTGGTCTTTGATTGCTGACTTAATTTCCGGTCTTACCCCTGGTTTGTGTTCTGGCCAACGTGATTTCCACGATCTCTTGCTTTCTCCAACATACTTAAATGAGCAATCTGGACATTCGAATTTATAAACAATGCCTTTAACCTCCGTGATCTTCTGCTTGTCTTTTGGTTTACCAAAAATGTCCCCTAAGCTTGGCATGGGTTTATATATTGTCTTAATACCAGTACTTTTAAGCAGTTGTTTTATCTGTTCTGATATGCCTTTCATGTATGGAATACAAGATAACCCTTTAATTTCCGGTTCGTCATTAATGTTGGAAAACGATCTGCTGGAACTTGTCTGGAAGATGAATTTCTCTGGATATCCGTTGAGCTTTAACTCTTGCACAACACGCTACTTTTCTTGCTGTTTTTTATTGTCTGTATAGAAGGAATGCTGTCGGCTCGATCAAGTAAGGTCTTAACTACAGCTCGCTTACTTTGGGTGGGATTATGAGAGTGAAAGGATAGATATTTATTGGTATGTGTATCCTTACGGTATACACTTACTTCAATGGTACGGTTTTTAAGAATTGTAATGTGGGTATCAAAGAAAGAAATTGCTTCACCGCGATTTGATTCTGATGGTAATTCAATTGTAAACTGAATTTTTTTGTTGATAGTGTTCAGGTGGGTGTGGAATTGTTCAACGTCATTTTTGCGTAGACATGAATTGGAGTCGTCAACATACCTTCTCCACCAGCGTACTGGGACAGGTGACATGTTGATGGCAATTGACTCTATCTCTTGCATTACTATCTCAGCTATGACTGTACTAACAGGTGATCCCATGGCGCATCCCGACTTCTGATGATAGTGTGTCTCATTGAACTTAAAGTAACAATTGCTAAGTAGGGATTTTAATAGTTTCACAACTTGTTCTTCTTTCAGTGCTGTATGTGACTTCCATGAATCAGTTTCTTTAAGTTTCTTCTGTACAATATGCAAGGCAAACGGAACAGGTATAGATGTAAATAAGGAGACAACATCAAAGGAGACGATAGTTTCATCCGTCCCTAACGTTTGACTTTTAACAAAATCAGCGAATTCTTTCCCATTATCTATTGAAAACTTAACTCATTTTTTGCGCAAAAGGTCTTTAACAATTTTGCAAGGTATTTTGATAGGGGATATGTAGGTGAACCAATGTTGCTGTTAATTGGACGCAAAGGAATGACGTCCACAGAACTTTCGCTCAGGGTATAGTGGTCTTGGTTGCAGATGAGAGCCACTTTATGGACTTTTGGCAAACCATAAAATGTAGCAGGAGAAGAATCAAAAGCTCTTAGCTGCCAATATTCTCTATCAGTTATGTTTCCCGAGCGTCGAAGCTCTTTCAGTATACTCTCTATGTCAGTTTCCGTCCGTTTGGTAGGATTTCTTCTCTTATCGGTGATGCGTGTATAAACTGTTTGGTCTCCAAGCATCTCGTTTACTTGTTCAGTACATTTTGCCTTATATTTTGTTCAACCGACGCTAGTATTTCTTTCTTTGGTACACGTCTCGGAGTTCCGACAAAATTTAGACCCTTTCTTAACAAATCTATTTCGTTCTTAGACAAATTTCGCTGTGAGACATTAACAACCCATTTGTTCATGATGTTATGTCGGCTGTCTGATGTTGAACGCCAGCGAAAGGCATATCAGAACAGATAAAACAACAGCTTAAAAGTGCTGATATTAAGACAATATATAAACCCATGCCAAGCTTAGGGGACATTTTTGGTAAACCAAAAGACAAGCAGAAGATCACGGAGGTTAAAGGCATTGTTTATAAATTCGAATGTCCAGATTGCTCATTTAAGTATGTTGGAGAAAGCAAGAGATCGTGGAAATCACGTTGGCCAGAACACAAACCAGGGGTAAGACCGGAAATTAAGTCAGCAATCAAAGACCACGCAGAAAGCACAGAACACAATGCCTCTATTAAAAATGCTACAATCTTAGAGAAAAGAGTACATAATTTAGAAAAACGAACGTTCCTCGAGTCGATACATTCAATATTAGACAATAAAACAATTAACGAACACAAAGAATTCCCACGCATGTATCTATCGCTTGTGCAATCATGTGGCAATAATGACGATATTTAAAACCTTGAACTATCCGAACTGCTCTTAGTACTCTGATGAAGGTTGCAGATAGCAACCGAAAATTTAGAACTTTTTTAGACTTTTTATTGTACATATTCTAGTATTTTAAAAAGAATTTTAGACAAGAATTTTAGACCATATATATATATATATATATATATATATATATATATATATATATATATATATATATATATATATGTATATATGTATATATGTATATATATATATATATATATATATATATATATATATATATACGGTATATATGTATATATATAAATATATATATATATAAATATATGTATATATATATATAAATCTATCACTGAGCCAACTTTCTCTAGAGCCCAACATTTATATAAATCAATCAATGATACATCAGAGCTCGTATAACAACTTTTTATTACGTTTCGGGGCAAGCCCCTTCTTCAGATTACATGTGTACACTTGATTTCAACAATTTAAACTGTCCATACCCTAATTACAATAATTCGCATGATTAACTCTATTGTTCAAACAAAGTCTTTTAAATTCAACCCATGCGGTTCAAACGAATTCAGTTTATATGCCCAAAAACCTTCTCTTTGTGTGGGACATGCAACATTAGTTTTATTATATATATATATATATATATATATATATTATATATATAAAATTTTTCAACAAATTCCAAATCCCATAAACATATTTTTCATCCATTTATAATATAGTCATTCACCGTATACGAGCTGTTCTGCAATCTGATTGGTTGAATTACTCGCCGTATATCAGCTCATATACGGCGAGTAGCGAAAAAACAAGATGGCGGTCCAAAAACTACATGAGTTTTGCGAGGCAGAAAAAAGGAAAATATGCGCTTTGAGAAAGATAAATACAAGATTTAAATACAAGTTTTTTGAAGAATTAATACCGAAACAACAGCGAAAAAAACATGTTCATTGAGAATATAAATTGTTCAGAAAAGTTTGCAACAAAAGACAAATGAATTTGCACTCAATAAGTACCTACTATACTACCAAACATCTGTATAATATATCTGAGCTTTTCTGTGAGATATACTGGTTCTAAAACCATTTCTTTCACTTTGTCTTCGAGTTGTAAAACAAAAGTATTTCAAATTTTCAAGGCCAAGCGGGTTTTGGCAAAACAAATTGTCAAGACATTGTAACAGAGGATAATTAATTATTGCTTCAGTTAATGGCTCATATACGACTCGAGCTCATGGTATAATAGCTTAAGTTTTTGGTTTACGAAACACAAACAGTGCTCAATACCATATAGATAGAGCGTATATATATATATATATATATATATATATATATATATATATATATATATATATATATATATATATATATATATATATATATATATATATGCACTTAATTTTAATTGGTTTTTGAAATTTTCTTAGATATGTAATTCATATATCGAGACTTCCAAGTTAAATTTTGATCTATGTATATATCTAGATATTTTACAAATATATATTGTCCGAAATATTGTCCGAAATATGACTGTGAGTGGTCTACTATAGGACCTATAGGCAAGAATAAGTTGATTTGTAACATTACAATCAGCTTGTAATAAATAAAAACTAGTTTCCGATTGTTTAGCAGTTGCAAGCGACATAAAATTTAAGTAAATACCCGATTTGCTGTCCACAAATGCAATATTTATATCCCTGATTGAACGAAAGAAAGTTTGTGTCGAACTGTGAACTGAAAAGTCAACACAAAATATTCGGCCGGGATCAGTTATTTTAGCGGCAACACATATTAAATCGGAATTAACCGGAATGGGTTCGGGCATAGGTTGTTCAGCTGTGTCCACTTTTTGCCTCCGAACTTTTTGTGAGTATTAATTTAAAATGTACTATATTTTCGTCCAATCTTCGTATTCCTAAAGTCAGTTTTCGTCCCAAATATTTTGTAATCACGGATTCTAATCTACCCCCTGCCCCCTCGCTCCCCCCATCGCGGACCAAGTATATATATATATATATATATATATATATATATATATATATATATATATATATATATATATATATATATATATATATATATATATATATATAAAATATAATAGTTAATATATATATAATAGTTAAAGGGGAAGTCAAGTCCGTAATGTAAACAAACGGTTTGTTTACATTTTGAACTGCTGTATTTTTTAAAATATGATGTACTGTCTGAATATCTAACACCATTTTGGTTCGTTATGCTTCTACATGAATATGAAATAGAGTTTGTGTTCAGAAAAATTCGAAACATTCAAAATTTGGGCAATGTTTACCTCAGAGGGCCCTCTATTGTTATGCGCAGAACCGATGTGCAGAACGGACTTGACTTCCCCT